ATGCCATCCAGCTGCAGCGAGTCGGGCAGCTCTATGCCTGCAGCATGCGCCAATGTGGGCAGGAAATCTCCAACATAAATCGGCTGGGTAAATACGCTGCTGCGCGCCTTGAGCAAGGGACTCCAGATAGCGCCGGCCACCCGCAAGCCACCCTCCCAGGGTGAATTCTTCTGTCCCTTGAGCGGCCAATTGGAGCCCGTATTGGCGAACATGCCCACCGAAGGCGCGCCATTGTCTGAGTAGAAGATCACAATGCTGTTCTCCAGCTGCTCGGCACGCGCCAATGCGCCTATCACACGGCCCACGCTCTTATCCAGCTTCGAAACCATAGCTATTTAAAGATAATTTATAATCAATATTAATTAATTATTACATTATTAATTACATTCTTAGCTTACCTGCATATTTCCTGTGATTCGGATCCTTGATGTGGGTGAACTTTTGAAGCTCCTCCTCTGGCACCTGCAATGGATCATTGTCGTTGCCCGTATGCACAGCCAGGTGATTGATCATGAGGAATAGTGGCTGCTGCTTAGCAGCAGTCTCTTGTATCACACGCTCCGCCTCATTGGTCAACAAATCCGTCATATAAACGCCGCGATCTGCACACTCCACCTCCATGTTTCGTCTAAAATCATAGCCCATTATGTACGTCTTGTCCGGCATCTGCGAGCGGCGCTGATAGTAATCAATGTATGCACCCCAATAGCCATAATGATAATCGAAGCCCCGGTGGGTGGGCGTGAACTCCGGCCTGGCGTAACCCAAATGCCACTTGCCCACCAGATTCGTTGAGTAGCCCGCCGCCCGAAAGATCTCTGGCATCAACGTGGTATTCAACTTTAAGGACCAGGGCTCCTGATTGCTAATCACAAAATGCTGCGTGCCTGAGAGTTAAGTATAAGATTAAGAGATCAACTAATACGCATTTACAAATCTCACCTGTGTGTATTGGGTATTTTCCACTTAGCAGTGCGCCGCGAGATGGAGTGCACATGGCCGGCGCATAGAGGCGATCCAGTAGACGTCCATGGAAGGCCAATGCATCAATATTCGGCGTTAGAAACTCACGTCCGCCGCGTATGCTCAGATCGTCGAAGCCCTACAATTCGCAGTTGATGAATGTTAATTATCTAAATGCCGTCGACCGACTCCGATCTATAGATTTTCTCATCTCAATTACCATATCGTCGGCCATTATGATGATTATGTTAGGCAATTTACTGCCAGTTCTTGTTGTGTTTGTCTCGCGGTCGTACGCTTTAACCCATCCGAGATTGAGCAATAGTAAAAGTGCTGATAAGATGACGACGCGCATTTTGATGAATGAATGATAATATGAAAAATATTTAAATGCCGCTCCAAAAACCGTTCGATGCGGCTGCTCAAAAACGACTGATACAAGCATTATCTACACAGCAGTTGCTGCTGGTGCTGCTGCTGCTGCTAATGCTGGAACTGCTGGAACGCTACTGCTGCAGCAGCAGAGACACTGATCAAACACCGCTCAGAGACAACTTAACAATTAGCAGTCGGCTGTATATCTCACGGCGTTTTTGTCATTTTAATGTCAAGTGGCAGTTAAGCAACGGCGGCTGTCGAACCTAACAAACCTGAAATTTTTATTGAAATTGATAAATAAAAAATGCTGTATCAATTAGAGCAGCTCGACGGCATTAGAATGCAAAATGTGTGGCGAACTTTTGGGGCTATAAGTTAAAGAATACGGAAAGCAAACATTGGCTTACGTAACTATCGACTGATAGCCTAAAAGTTACGTGTGCTAGACCGGCAAATACCCTGTAGAGAGAGAGAGAGGCGTAAGCAAATAATAAAATTATATTTGATTGCATTTTCCTTATCTGCAATCAGACAGATTGTTAATACGTTTTTTATTTATTTGTCTTTTTTTTTTTATTATTATTTTATTCCAGTTTAATTTATATATTCATTACTTAATGGCCTTTTTATGGGTTTACAAATTTCAAGTATTTCTGTGTACATACTGAAACATTAAACTAATTGAGCCTCTTCACAAGCTGCCGCAGTCTTCGATAATGACTTTCTTCGAGGTCTTGCCGGAGTTGGAGCCCATCGTCTCGACTTTGGCTATAATATCCATGCCCTCCACAACTTTGCCGAAGACAACATGCTTGTTGTCCAGCCAATTGGTCTTCCCAGTGCAAATGAAGAACTGCGAGCCATTGGTGTTACGTCCGGCATTTGCCATAGATAGAATGCCCGGACCCGTGTGCTTCAGCGTAAAGTTTTCGTCGGCAAACTTATTGCCGTAAATCGAACGACCCCCCGTGCCGTTCTGATTGGTAAAATCGCCGCCTTGACACATAAAGCCCGGTATGACGCGATGGAACGGGCAGCCCTTATAGCCGTAGCCCTTCTCCCCAGTGCACAGAGCGCGAAAGTTTTCAGCTGTCTTGGGCACAACGTCTGAACGTAACTCCATCACAATACGGCCGAGTTTTTCGCCCCCGGCGTTGATGTCAAAATAAACACGTGGCAAAGACATATTTTGTTGATCAGCTAAATAAAATATATAATGCGAAGTTTGTGAAATAAATATTAAAAATAAAATTTTGCCAACTCACATGAGAATTATCTACGAGGGTTTTATTTTTTTTTTTATTTAGTTGTGTTCCGTAGCACGGCGAAAATTGAACTGAGAAATCGGAAATTTAATGGCCTACTATTTCCTTGGGATGCGAGTCTCTAGGGATATTTCTTGATAAGAAATCGATAAATGTATTTTGGGGTATTTTATGCTTGCTGTCAGTCAGACTAACCCCATCTGATATTTTCAAATTTAGAATAAATATTCTCGTGATTTTGTTAAAAAGAAACCTTTTCGAAACTGATGGAATCGGTGGAACAGGATGGCGAGCAGGTCAATCGGGATGACTTAATCCTACAGCAGCAGCGTGAAATCGAGCGAGAGGTGAGAGCTGCAGTTCATTCACATGCTGAGATGACTATTCACTTTCGTGCCAATCGATTATAGATCAGCGACTCAACGCCTTTGGTCAGCGACCAATTGCCGTTGACCTGCTTGACGGCCGAGTACAATGGGGATGCGGTTTTCACGGCCAAGATTCAGGCCTTGGCCAGCAAGTATAAGTATATGCGTAGAACTCGCCCCGATGGCAATTGCTTCTTCAGAGCCTTTGCCTACTCGTATCTGGAGTGGTTAATCTCGAATAAAGCGGCCTACGATAAATTCCGTCAGATTGCAGAATCCTCGAAGGATAAGCTGATTCAACTGGGTTTTCCAAGCTTCACGTTGGAAGATTTTCATGGAACTGTAAGTTGATAGCTACACACACACAGAAGCTCTATATGATCTATTGCAAATATATTGCAGTTTATGGATGTTATTAATAGAGTTAATCCGGAAAATCCTGGTGGAGTCGAGAAGAATCAAAGCGAGCTGCACACCATCTTCAACGAACAAGGCTATTCGGATTATGTGATTGTCTATTTACGTTTGATAACCTCCGGCAAGCTGCAGGAGGATGCCGAATTCTATCAGCACTTCATCGAGGGTGACATGTCCATTGAAGAGTTTCGCCATCAGGAAGTGGAGCCAATGTTCAAGGAATCCGATCACATACATATCATCGCACTCTCCGCTGCCCTCGGTGTGGGCGTGCGTGTCGAATATCTGGACAGGGCCGAGGGTGGCACTGTCAAGGCACACGATTTTCCCGAGGGAGCTCAGCCTATGGTTTTCCTTATCTACAGACCTGGACACTATGATATACTATATCCAAACTGAATTTGGCTAGCTCGACAATTATGTGCTGTCAATTTAAACCCAAATTACCTATTTGTAAACAAGGGATTCTAAAACAAACAAAAAACCAGAGGAGTTAGCTATAAAATAAATAAGTGGGAGCATAATTTTGTTGTACTTGAATATGTTTTTGGGGTTATGTACTACTGGCAGTATGATAATCATCTCAATTGTTTTTACCATATTAACATATAGGTATACAATAATATGTAGGCATAACGAAGTAGTAGTATAAAACATTAACCAAAAGATAATTTATTCTGTAGAAATATAGAGAGGTTTCCAATCTTCGTTTCGCATAGAATGCACAAAGCGTAATTACGAACAATTCGCTTCTATAATTATATAGATTCAGTTTCACTAGCTATGTTTGTATTTAGGTAATATGTAGTCCAACCAACTTATTCTCTCATAAGAAAAGGGACTTGTCTTGGTTTTACTGTTTTATATTGCAGTTGACTGCAAGTATATAAAGTACATATATATAAAATAAATATATATACAATATTAAGTTTTTCGATTCGATACACCCCAATAGACAAACCACAAAAAAATTAATGTTCTAGCTTTGAGGTAAAGCAATGTGAGTATCCAGTATGTCTCATAATAATTAGAGATAGGAAATGTTAATATATTGTTTTCCAGCAGTATTACTAAATAATATATACTTTTTCCGAGTACATGCAGCCAATAGTCGTTAGCTTCCATAACATATTACGTTTATCTGCATAGCTTTACTCAAATGTAAATTCCAAGTCTCAAGGTTCAACAATACTGAAAATGTTAGGCCACAAGACAATATATGTAAATATATACATTTATCTGGATTGGTTTACACAAATGTAAATTCCAAGGTTTAATACTGCTAAAAACTATAATGAGAAGAAAATTTGCCACGCCCGCAGTGGGCGTATAGGAAGAATCTTTAAGAATTGACCACAGAGATGATAGATACTAGGGTACAATTTGGTAACTATATGAGTATATACATACATATATAGCTGAACCGAGCACAGTTTGAATAGCTCAAAAGTTAAGAAATATTTATTAATCTTGTTCTTAAACTTGCTCTAACATATAAATTAATTTTCTTTTTTTATTAAGAAATGTTCATGAACTTGAATTTTTGGTAGTAGATCCCATGGTATATAATCAGCTTGCTGGCTGCTTGATAACCTCACTCGTACTTGGCTCTGTTAATCACAGTCAATTTTCGTATTGTTTATTGTCCATTGTCTTTTTAATTGTTCAGCGGTTTTTTTTTTTTTTTTTTTTTTTTTCTCACAGCTGTTTGCTGCGGTTATTGAATATTATTATTATACACGTTCTTTATGTCTAGTTTAATACAATTTACACCTTTGGTTACAAGTGTCTACAAGCACTATTTAACTAAATTCTAAATTAAATGGGCCTCAGCAAGGCAACGACACACTCAGACACACACACATAGATAATATAAAATGTACCCAAACACACACATTCAAACATACATTAGCTAATTTAAAGGCATTAAATACTCATTATGAGCTCGCTCTATGTTCTATATAGATTTATATATACATATATGTAAATATATATATATATTCTCTTTCCATCACCAGACGACACTGCGCACAGCCGCCGGCAGCTCACAAATCGCATTATGCACAGGTATTGCCAGGAATCCGGCCAGCGCAATGCCGTATGAATCGGATTGGACGACCATGGACATGGCGAACTGTTGTCGACCCGGCGCTATTTCCTTGGACATGCGATAGAAGGTGTTCACATAGGCACCGCCGCCCAGCAGGCCCTCCCACAGCACGATGACAAACACAATCCAAATGGTGGGCGTGTAGAACCAAATGACTTCAGTCAGGAAGTAGACAACGTTGATGCACTGGAACACGGACATTAGCCAGATTTTGTTCAGCTGGAAAATGTTGACGGAGGAGCGAGAGATGAACACGCCTATCTGGTAGTCCACGTTCAGCCAGCGATACTGCGACGCCTTGTCCAGGAAGATGTTCTCAAAGTAAACCAGCTCGAACTACGAATGGAGGCAAATTAATGGGAATATTATAAGACAAGACTGGACTTGATCTCAGACACTCACCAGTCCCTGGTTGATAAAGTACTCGAAGAAGTAGACCAGGCACAGCGGCAGCATATACTTAAACAGATGCTTAATGTAGGACAGCTTCTCCTTGAAGCCCACCAGGGGCTTTTCGTCGCTGATCAGCTCCTCGGTCGACTCGACTGTGGTGACGGGCAGCACTTGAGGGCGACGCAAGAGCAGCCAAAAGGCGAACGCTTCAATGGCCGGAAAGATCAACATGATCAGCATCGTATCACGCGGACTGACATCCAGAGAGCGCAGCGAGGCATAGCTGAGTGAGCCAATGACTCCAGCACCGCCAGTGCCCGAGGACCAGGTGGAGATGACATTTCTAGGAGAAAGAAAATTTGAGTAAACCTCATCAAAAGCTAAACGAACGACAGTTACACTCACTTGTTGAAGCGCGAGGAGTAAGCCAGGAAGGTTGTTTCGCCAATGCCGCTGCTGGCCGAGGTAATAATGACGCCCAGCAGTGCCATCCACTCGGCATTTGCAAAGCCCACAAACAGGAAACCCGCTGCTGAGCAGGCCACAGCTATGCCTATGCGTACACTGTGAGAAAATGGAAGGTAGTTAATATAAATTTTGTGAGGACTTTCAGACTAAACGACTCACTTAACCCAGAAGGGAAAGAAGGGCATCAGAATTTTGACAAACAGCGAGGGCAGAACATCCGCCAGCAATATGGCGCCCGTCGATACCAAATGGCACTCCCGGCCCTTGCCCGTATCGTCGACCTCGCCCACCTCAGGCTGAAAGGAAGATATGCATTTAATTAATATATATATACATATATATAATTTCGAATCCCAACCCACTTCATCATTGAACTGCGCTATGATGTCGTGCGCCGCACTCAGCATAACCACATAGCCGTAGTTGTTGCATAGACCCAGGATCCAGTAGGCGGTCAGATCTCGCCAGAGGCTGCGATCGTGCCGTATGCTGTGCGCTGCGCCTGTGGGCGTGACCACCACCTGTGGATTGTGATCGCTATCCTCGGCCTCCTGCTGCTTGCTGGACGCCGACATCTTGGGCAGGAGTACTGCAATTGGAAGACATTTTGGAATCGGTTAGGATTTGCTGTTGACTCGTCATGTCACTCGGCTTAGATAACCTGCCAGCAATTCATAATCAACATCTTCATCTACATCTCTAGCCATTTAGCCAACTTGCTTAACTGTTCTCTATGTACAGCTTTAGCCACCTTGGCCTATAATTAGTTCAAGTATAACAGGGCGAACGTCATTACGAAAGCTCTTTCCGCATTTGCTGTGAAAGCTTTGCCTTGTTTAATAACTCATTTATTTCCTATATATGTGTGTGTGTGTGTGTGCTCGAGTGAGCTTTACTTATTAAGCTAAACATGTGCGTCGGCGGTCTTGAATGTTTTCATTGAGCAAGTTCAACCTAGTCGAGCACATTTGGCCTGCTGCAAACGTGCTGCCAATGCTAATAAACTGTGCGAGTGATACAGCTTTTTAATAGCCCTTAAGTACTGTAAATAAAACAGGATAAGTTATTATGAATCAGACAATAATTTTTGAAAAATTAAAGTCCAATTCTGAGATCAGAATAATACAGTCAAGCTGGGTTTTTGACGAGTAATTAAATTTTGTTTAATAATTTTGAGCATATTTAGGCTTTATCTGATGTTTTTTCGTATACCCAGAGAAACTTGTTTTCAAGTCTATTAAAGTTTGATATATGGAATTATGAATTGTTGTAAATATTATTAAACTAAATATTCTTCCCATTAAAAACCACTTAGTATTTTCTAATCAAATGGCTTTTCTACTTTGACGAGCTGTGTAATTCCTAAATTACTCTGTACTCTATAGCAGATATTATATGAAATATACGATGGAATATTGACAGACCAAAGGTTGCATTCATTAAAACATACCGGCTTACAATGGAATATTCAATAAAATCAAGTGAGCTATAGAATTAAAAGCACACGATAATGAATATAAGAGAAGGTGATTGCTATAAGGCGTATATAGAAGCGGACATAAAATCAAATCATTATATTACATACTTTATGTATGTAATTAATGTTTGTATGTAATTTTCAAGCATGTACACTGGTATTATATAAGATAATATAATGTATAATATAATATAAGATAACCAGCCACTTATTCAACATACATACATATATAATTTTATGTATAAATGTCATCACTTAACTGCAGTGGGCAAAAGTCTGCAGCCGATAAGAATATGAAATGAATTTTGATTACGGCATAAGATGAGTTCAAGAGTATGTGAAACATTTCCCTGCCAATGCTTGGAAGACTTTTAAGAGTAAATTAAATAATAGTAATAGTAGTATTCCTTTTCTTAAAGGAAAAACAAAACAAACTATGCAAACCCGATATACTCTTTCCACTTCATGAGAGTGCAGAGAGTGCAGAGAAAGGAAACAGAATACAAGTTTCCTCGCTTCTTACAGCTTCAAAAGCTCAGTCAATATTTTCGTTACTTTTTCTTATTCTCCCTAATTTTTAAATTTAAAGCTCGCCAATCTGATTAATGACATTTATATACGCAAACAAATACTTAGGCTATTAGTAATTCCCCATATTTAAAGTCTATAAAGCGCTTTTATAATGTAATGTGATTTTGATAAACATATCGTTAAACAGTTTATGATTTGTTGAACTTTTAAGCCTATAAAACTAAATTTTTGTTTAAGACGATTTCTTGATAACACAGCAGTTGGGCGATAAGATTACAGGATGTCTTTCATATAAAGCATACGTTGCTTCAAATGACTTTGACTTGATTGAGTTTTAATTGTGGATATTGACCAAGAGCGATTGACGCACATTCTGAGCAAATATTTGTATTTGGCAAGCTGATGCTTCAAATCTCAGTTTATGGCTATGCAAATTGACTTTTAAATCTCACTGTTTGACCTGTCAAAAAAGCAAAGCTTTTTATCAAGTGCGTCAGAATTATTTACAGTTGAGCCGGACAGCCAACAATTAGAAATTGTTATTGATGTTGTGTAGGGTGTATAAATGCTCTTAAATTGTTTTGAAAATAAATATCGAATATTTGCTATACTTTATGCGAGCAACTGCCAGATGGAAATTAACTATATTATTATAATATCTATGTAATTAAAATAGAATTATTTAAGTGCCCTTAAGAGGTGTCGAACTGGGCCCGGATGTAAGTGGATCCCAAATAGTTTGCCTTAGCCCGAGAATTATTTGGCAACGCTCATTGCATGGGCAAAGTACAAAATGTTTGATTTGTTTACAAACCCCAAAACTTGTGACTCGATAGAGACCGCAACGGATGAATAGATTAATGAAAGATGCGACAATAAAAATAAATGCAAAATAAACCCAAAGAGAGGGGGAGTGTGTGAGAGAGAGAGAGTGACAAGTGACTGGGCGACTAGAAAGTTGCGGCGCTTGATCAATTGTGTCTAATCTAATTATCTCAACGTGTTACTTAGATGCCGCTGCAAATATGTGACCTTGTCAATTCCACAGATTAGAGACTGAATTGTGGTTGAGCTGAACAAGTCCGCGTGTGAAGTATTCAATTGAAAATAATTAAAGCCATATCGGCAACAGGTCGGGTTCCCGATAGAAGTAGAATTCGATCGCATTCTAAATGCTGATTCACTCGATTCACTCTCACACTCGATTCACTCAACGCCGTCAAGTTGTTGACCCAATTTTGTAAGACAATCCCAGCTTAGTTTTCACTTTCATTTGGCAGAGCCAGCGATTAACCCGACACCGCGACAATTTCAAATCAAAAATTTATTTTGAACTATAACAGAGAGTGTAAATCGATACGAGAGTTTGCGACATTTGCCTTGAGTTTTTAATTTAATGCACAGCACAATTTTGAGCTATTCATATTCATATTTCGGCTCTTCCTTATTTGTTTTTACGGTTCTGCATATTATGCCATATGAGTGTATAGAAACTGTACGAAGATATGAGCAAAGCGGCAAATTGGTTGCGAAAAATAAAAATTAAAAGCATTAATGCAGCTAATGTCTAAAACTGGTTTGTTTGAAAATTAATTTTGCTATTATATGTACTACATTTGTTGTTAAAAATGTAGAACAAATATTTAGCAAAAAATTTAGTAAATGTAATAGCAAAATTAATTTTCAAGCAAACCAGTTTTAGATATCAGCTGCGGCAAACATTTAGTTTACGAAAGCTATTTTGAAATAATTTTAAAATTTAAAATTGTCAGAAATATTGAGTCTAAATTTTTATAAATTTATTTCATAGATTCTTTTCATATGGTAACTAAATTAATAAAAAGCTTTATATCTGTAATTATCAATCGAAAATTTTATCTATAAAAAAAAAATATAATTTTAAACCAAATTAAAATTCAAATATATAATTTTGAGCTAAATAATTTGTTATAATGAACTGTTAATTTTACAACAGTTTAATGATAAGTTTATTATAAATATTCTAAAAATTTTATATATTATATATTATATATTAGTGATAAGTTTATTATAAATATTCTAAAAATTTTATATATTATATATTTATATTTACGTATATTTAAATTTTCTCTATTAATATTTATATTTAAAATTTATTTAATATGTTTTGATTTTGATATATATTTATTTTTTATATTTTATATATTATTTTATATTATACGATTATTGTTAATTCTTTTATTATTTTTTTAAATAAAATTTTTATTATTATTTTATATATATTTTAAAAATTATAATTTAATAAAATTTTTGTAATCCTGTTTTATCAAAATATTTTATTTTGTTTTTTATTATATTTGTTTAGGTATATTTTACCCGTTTATTTTTTACACCTTCCGCAGCACCTTATGCTTTACGATATTTGCTGCGACAAATTGTTTATTAACGGTCGTATACTTATGTCTGCTTTCGAAACGCGAGGAATTGTTTTTGAAGAATTTGAGATAACGTAGTCGAGGCGACGACCCGTTTCGCGGGTTTTAACGTTTCACGAGCGACTGAATCTGAGTGAACCGCCCACTTAATAAGCAAACCCACAGCGATGTTTCGCTTATTGACAGCGATTGCAGCGGCAGCAGCAGCGGCAGCAGCAACGCCAGCGGCGACTGCATTGAACGGCAAAGACCCCAAGCGGTCACGCGAGTTGCGAGCGGCAGCATAAAAAGTCAAAGTAAAGCGACAGCAGCAAGAAGTGCCAAAGTGTCGATCAGGCAGTTAGCTAGCTATATATACATAACTATATATGCATATATGTACATGTATATATAAGAAATGATTCTCTAAGTATTATTTTAAATACATTCAGCTATGAATGAACAGCGCGAGGCGAGCTAAATAGAGTTGCGAAAACCTTTAAAGGGGCACGCAGCACAGAAGCGAGTTCAAACAGACGCTCAGCAATGTCAAATGTTGTTGTTGGTTTTCGTTTTTATATTGCAGCTGGTTTTTTAAGTTATTTTATGAATTTAAAATGAGCTCTTTACAGTCATACTTGTATATATGTATATGTTTATATTGTTAAAGTATATGCCTTATTTTTGGCATGCAGTCAACACGTTCTTCTCATTTGTACTGCTTTTGTTAACATTATTTTAAGCCAGTCTAACGTCGCGTATACGCAATATGATCTAAGCACAGACGACGTAAGAATATGCATAAAGTGAGACGTTTATTTTAAGCATTTACATTGTATTTAAATAAACTGGAATTGTTCAGCAGATTTACATTAATTCTGTTCATTAATTTTATGCCGATTTTATTACAGGAATACAATATATATATATATTGCAAGCAAAGAGCAATTAAAACCTTACGTTGTACAGTTTATATTACCCTTTAGTCACTGGCAAGCCTCGCACTTTACGATTAAACGCGTCCAAACGACGTTAGCCAACTGAATGTGGCAAATTCAAGTTAAATACTTGAGTGCCAATTGACAGCATTATCATTAGCTTTATCAGAGTAATACACGGACATAGATTAAGACGCGGTTGCAGGCAATAACAGTCCGATAAGGTGTACACAGGGCACAAGCTATATAAATCTTAAGATATCAGTCGAGACAACGTTTGGCAACAGCCTATGCGAATTTCAATTACTAAGCAAGGCGTACCATATATACGACTAGTAGATATGAGCATATATATGGGCTAGAAATATATTTAGAAGTTTAAATTGTCGAATGCGATTTAAAATGAAACCATTTGCGCGCTTGTTCAGCACGTACACAAAACCACGGGAAACAATTTAACATCGCAGCCGCAAAGTATGTAACTAAAAATATATATGTAATACATATATGTATGTATGTGTATTATGTATTTATGTATGTATTAGATAGTGATTGACTGCAAGCTACCCAGTGCTGGTACAACTGTAAGCAATTTTGGAGACATTTTGAAATAAAATTTAAATTATCTGTAAAGAAACGTGTGCTTAATTATGAATATTTACATAAATGCTGACTTTTTCTTTATATGCCACTCTAACTCCTTAATAAATAAAAGATTGACCAGTCGTAAATTCTTATTATTTATTTTCTTGAGAGAAGCTGTGTTATTCCGTATAATGCATGTAGTAATTGAGATTCGTGTAGTTAAGCGTGCAATTACTCAGCGCTGCAGCGGACCGCTTAGTATGTTATGTTATTAACATAATGCTGCTAATAGCATAGCATGGCAATGTGGGGCAGCAGCATTTCCTGTTAATGGAAGCTGGCATTAACACCTACAAAACACTTGCTCAGCTTTAACATATAGGACAAATAACGGTACAATTGCAAAGGCTTATTATAACAGAATAAAAACAGATCAAGTTTTCAGTTATATATCAACTACACATACATACCACTTCTTCAGCTTTAAAGCAAATTACAAATGTATAGTGGCAAATGCAGCGACTAGCGAAAGCGAAGTGGAAAAAGCAATGCGAATAAGAGTAAGAGTAAGAGTAAGAGAGAGAGAGAGAGAGAGAGAGAGAGAGAGAGAGAGAGAGAGAGAGAGAGAGAGATGGGAGTGAGTGAAAAAACGGGAAACATGTTATTGACAAACTGTTCTATCGAAAGCAACATGCGGTGGGAATTCTAAGAGCTGCTTCGGGGGGCTGTTGCTGGGGTTTGTAATACGAGCAGAACTTTCGCTTGCACAGCGGATAAGCGAGTAACGTAAGTGTAGTAAATAATTTAAAATTGTCTGTCAATTTATCGTTGAATGTGATGTGCAGTGAATGGCTGAATTGTATTACAAGCTCCCCAAGCGATTGAGGACAACTTAAACAGCCTGTTGACAACAAGATTGAGATGGCAATTTGTCAGCATGGCAGTAATTTGTCATACAGAAAAGGTCCCGAGGCAGTGCAAAATGAAGATAAACGTTAACTTCATTTATTAAATATTTTCCAGTTCATTTAGCCAACTTTTATATTTAAAAAATCAAATTTTAGCCCTGTCTATTTATATACCAAATGCCATAATTATTATTAATTGCTGGCAATGTTTTTGTGGCTAACCAGCGATTTGCCACGCAGCTTTTTTGATAAAGCCGCAGAATAAATTGTGACAAGCAGAGTCCGCAGGCTATAAACATCAAAGTCCACATAAATCGGATGACAAAATCGAAATAAATGTATCAGATGATTGATTACGCTGCAGCACAACAATCAGCGATGAGATGATAGATGCCCTCCGGATAGATTCTCTCTTTAAGAGGAAGGCATTGCTGCCGAATTCAGATAACTATTTAATGCCTCAGGCTTATGTTTATCTCCGGCCACACGCACAAACAGCTAACAATGGACTTTTTTGCAGCAGCAGCGGGCCGTGGTGCAAATGCAAATGGAATAGAATGTGGCTGGAAAAAAGTCATTGGCCACACAAGAAACTTTTTAATGCAAATACGAAAATCGCATGAAAACACAGAAACGTGGTCCGGTCAACGAGGCGTGCGGCAATTGCACGGGTCTACGACAACAGGAAGCGAGGAGACAACGGGTCGTTGCATTGCTGCATAATTCCACAGCCGTTGGATGAGGCGAAAAGTTAACGGAAAGTGTTTCACCTACACTTTTTATTTTATTTTTATTTTCACTATTATTTTGCATAACAGCTTAAAGCGTTTTATATTCGTGAGAGGTGCAAGGTGAGCCTTTAAAGCTTAATTTGAGCGCTGCACGTAACGTTGCCAGGCCAGTTCGAGCAGCAGCAGCACCACCACCAAGAGGTAGCCACATAGCAGCATGAAGAAGAGCGGTGCCACATATTCCATGCCCACGGTAATGACAAAGTTCTGCGAGTAGCAGTGCAGCCTCATGCGGGCCCACCAAGTGCGATGCTTGCGATAGATGCCAGTCTCCAAAACGCGCAGCAATCTATATAATAATATATTATATATATACATATATATTCATTTACTTATAATTTACCTTAAGCGCACGAGTTCCTTGTAGCTGGAGTTGCGATGCAGGTGGGTGTAGAGCCGCAGTTCGGGTCGAAACAGTATCTCATTGAGATCGCAAATCTCCTGCTGGGTATAGTAACGCTCCACATACTCATAGCCCGAGGAGGCCTCGAAGATAAACACATAGCCGGGTCTGTCGCGCACACGTAGAATGCCCTGCTCCGCGGGCAGCCAGAGCTCGGGATTGTGGGATTGTGGCTCGATTTTGCGCTTGCGAAGCAAATGAATCTCCGGGCGTTGAGTGTACTGAGGAGAATGGAGTTAAATTAGCCAATTTAGTATATGTATATATCATACTCACATTGAGATAACTCTTCGTAAATGACAGCGGCTCAAGTCCAACGGTTAGCGAGCTCTCAGCCAGCTGTTGCACCGTCTGGATCTTCGATTTGACAGGTGAGCTCAGCAGCGAGGAGACCACCACAGACGTATAATAGTTGTACATTATAAAGCTAATCAGAAACAGTGCAAAGTAGGCCAAACGTCCGCCCGTGGAGCGCGGTGTTAGGGCCGAGCTTTGGATGCACGCAGCACCGAAGCTAATTAGGCAGGTGCTCAGCAGAGAAGGTACAAACTCCAAGCGCCAGCTACGATGCATGCGCTTGGACTCCATGTAGAAGGCGAGCCAGAGCATTAGAGCGATCAGCAGCAGGATGCCGGCAAAGAGAAACCAAACCAGGGCGCTGAAGGGCTGCAGAAAGACGTCGCCCCTGATGCCGGCGTTGTGAGGCGTGCGGAACAGGCAAATCGAGCGAAAGTAGCCCGTCTCAATGATGGCCGACAGGAGATGGAGTCTGCCCGGTGTGGCCAGGCAGGGCGCCGAGCCAATGTCGGCTGTTTCATCGACCACAGCGCCCACAGAGCCGCCATTGTAGTCGCCGTAGCTCCAACGATCCTTGAATGTGAAATTCATGCTAGGAGAATAGAAATTCATAATTCCATATAAACGGAAAACGGAACACTTACCCGCACTGCAGCAGATCCTTGAGTATCAGACTCAGCTGAAAGCCAAAGCGCGCTATACCATCGATGTGTGTGTCGTTGATTTGGTTGAGGAACTGCAGCAGCTGCTCCGGCGGCCAGGTAATGGGTCGCTGTGTCACCACCGTAGCCACGCGCAGCACCACGTCCGTCAGCTGCTCCCGATTGCCGTACTTGGAGCGCAAATGCAATGAGCTGAGATAGCGAATGCCATCGCAGCTGCTTCGATTGCAGCTGAGCTCATAGTTCACTGTCATATTAAGCTGCCCGCCAATGTGATTGCCATTGCTGTAGACATCATATACCGTGTAGACAACGGCATCCTTATCTTTACTGTGTGGCATATGCTGCTTCACATAGTCCACGTCAGCATCGATGGATATGTTTGAGCGCCTGAAGAAATCGTAAAAGCTGAAAGCCTCCGAGCTGTCGTGCAGCACCCAATGGTAGTGCTGATTGTAGAGCCGAGCTCGACTGGCCTGCGATAAAAAAAGAAACATTTATGCATTTCTTATGCCGAAAAGTTAGGCTCTCCACCTCTGCTAAAAGACTTCTGCTTCGCATGCACCTCAAGTCCACGTAAATGGCCAGCGTGGGCTGTGCGTGATCCAAATAACGTTGCTCCAGGTGCTCCCAGTTCCAGTCTCTCAAATGGGCAAACTGATAGTAGATGGGCTGCTGATGAGGCTGATGGATTTGTTGTGCGAACTGTAAGGCTGCAAAGAGTAAAGAAATTTTTATATTAAATTAAATTAAATAAAATATATTGTGTTAACAAATTGCAGCTCACTCTCATTATTTGCCCAGCAGTGAAAGAAAATGATGAAGCTTATGCGCGACTGCAGCAAATTCTGCAGCACAAAGTTGGCCAATTGCAACAGCTGCATTTTGTTATTGACTTAACGACAGATTCGGGCTGCGCTTTTTATAGTCTCCTCTCGAGCAATTTAGCTGTCCTGTGTCCTGTCATCTACCCGTCAATTTGTTTGTACAAATTGCACACTCAACAAGGTAAATATGATAGGCCATTAGGAGCACTTGCCTTAATGACGAGCACCGCCTTGCTGTCGCCTGAGGAACCAAAGCCAAAACCAAACCAGACCCAAAACACACACACGACAAAGGCACATATCCGCAGCAGAAACAGAGTCCATGGCAATGACAATATTTCCATTGGTATGATAGCTTTATTAGCTTGTTGCGAATCCAATATCGAAAGTGCTTGAAATGAACTCCAGTTTCCAGCATGCACAAAGTACTCCATATGCCATGACCTGCTTTAGTTTAAACAGTTTGGCATAGCTGGAGTTATTAACAACCATGTCGTTTGTCTCGCCTCGCAAAACAATCTCATTCAGTTCGCAAATCTCTATTGCAAAAATGCATAAGGACTAGTTGCCTTGGTAATATAGATAAATCCAGCTAAGTTGTGCTTCGCTTTGGGGTGGGGTGGGATAAATCAATTCCGCGCCTAAATAAAGTAGCGCCTCTACAATTCTCACAAGTATTTTGGTCAATTTAATCAATTTAGATAAGCCAGTGAAAGCATTCTTTGAAGAGTTGTTAATTATTGGCACGGAATATATATATATATATAAAAAAAAAAAGAAAAAACAAACAAACATCAATAGGTTTACAACTTATAATAAGCAATTAAGTCAATCGAGAGCTAAGTAATTCCTCTAAGTATTTCTCCTCTCGTTCCTGTAAGTGTTTTCTTTAAGAATATACACTAAGTCTTTACTCTAAGTGTTTCCTCTAAATATTTCCTGTAGGAATTTCTTATATTTCTTATAAGTATTTAATCAAAGTATTTTGTCAAAGTATTTCTTCTATGAATTTTTTGTAAGTCTTTCCTTTAAAAATTTGTCTAAGTCCATCCTCTATAAATTTCTGCTATTTCCTATATATGCTTCCTCAAAATATTTCTTCTAAGTCTTTAATGCTTAGATGAACGATCATACACTTCACTTCACTTTAATTCACTTTACTGCACTGCTCTACTGACCCCCACCAGGCCTAGGCGACTGAAGAAATGCTGAAGCTGCTGCCCTTTATATAGGGCGACTGTCACTCAACCAATGAGAGCACTCTCTGCTGCTGAAAGCATTACAACTTCGTTTTACTCAAGTATAAATACCGAATGAATACTGCTGCATACATGTAGACGAATTGAGTGATCTTCTTCGTCCCTCGCTTTTGATTGGCAGACAGACGGACTTTCCTTCTGACTCTCTGTCTCTCTCTCTCTCTCTCTCTCTCTCCGTTTGTTTTAATGTCTGTCTGTTACTCTGTATGTCTCTCTATCTCTCACTCTGTCTGTCTCTCTGTCTCTCTCTCTTTATCTCTCTCTTTATCTCTCTCTCTCTCTCTCTCTCTCTCTGTCTCTCTCCCTCTCTCTCTCTCTCTCTCTCTCTCTCTCTCTCTCTCTCTCTCTCTCCCTCTCTCTCTATCTCTCTCTCTCTCTCTCTCTCTCTCTCTCTCTCTGTCTCTCTCTCCCTATGTCTTTCCCTCTGTCTCTCTCTCCCTCTCTGTCTCCCTCTCTCTCTCTCTCTCTCTCTCTCTCTCTCTATTTGTTGCGAGAGCGAGGGACGAAGAAGATCACTCAATTTGTCTACATGTATGCAGCAGTATTCATTTAGTAGTTATACTTGAGTAAAACGAAGCTGTAATGCTTTCAGCAGCAGAGAGTGCTCTCATTGGTTGAGTGACAGTCGCCCTATATAAAGGGCAGCAGCTTCTGCATTTCTTCAGTCGCTCAGGCCTGGTGGGGGTCAGTAGAGCAGTGCAGTAAAGTGAATTAAAGTGAAGTGAAGTGTATGATCGTTCATCTAAGCATTAAAGATTTAGAAGAGATATTTTGAGGGAACACTTGGAAAAATTTCTTAGTGGATAGACTTAGAAGAAATTCTTAAAGGAAAGACCTTAATAAAATATTTAGAGTAAAGAGAAACACTTTGAGCAAATATTTAGAGCAAATACTTATAGGAAATGCTTAGCAAACATTCTTATAAGAAATACTTAGAGGAAAGGCTTAGCATAAATGTTGACACATACACGTTTATTTCAAATAAGAATTAATATTAATGCAATTAAAAGAAAACTTACCATCGAAACTACTTTTCCACTACAATACCAATACATATCCCTGTGAATTCCCAGCTTGATAAAATTGTAATCCACGAGAATATTTTGTAAGTGCTTCAATAGGGGTTTTCCATAGCATTTCAATTCTAACTGTGCAAAGTGAAAAAGTGCTTTAAGAAATTAATAAATTAATATATAGCATATTACATACAATGTAATAATTTAATTCTGTAAAATGCAAAAAGTAATAAAAAATAAATTTAGATAGAAACATTGCGCTAGAGTCAAGCAATTAATCAATCAATTATACACCGCTATTTAATATCAAGACTTCTTATATGATAATGATATTTTAACGAAAATTTAATCAGTATTTAAGAAATTGTAAAAGCTGTCAGTTAGTGACAGTTCGAAAGTTGTCGAAAAGTTAATCTAACTATGTTTCTATATTATTGAACATTTATTATTTATTTTTTGCAAATGAGTTTGTACCTATTAACTTACCTAATAAAATATAAATATTTATAAGTTTTTAACATTGTTTGCTATAAAATTATGGATTATTTTATTCATACAGGAATCTGGATATTGCATAACATCAGTGCTTTACCTTATTGACGGCCAGCTCGTTGCTGTCGCCTGTGGAACAGTATTTCCAGACCCAAAACGAACAGACACAGTATATAGGCACATATCAGCAGCAGAAACAGTGGCCCGGCAGAGTCCATGCCCACGACCACACCTCTATTGCTGTCGTAGCAATGGAGCTTGTTGCGAACCCAATATCGAAAGTGCTTGAAGTGAACTCCAGTTTCCAGCAGGCGAAGATAGCTAGAAATATTTCAATATTAACATTATTATCTCCGATACCTCTTGTACTATGACCTACTTTTGTTTAAACAGTTCGGCATAGCTGGAGTTTATGGCTACCGTAGTGTGAGCACTTGTCTCGTCCCGCAGAAGAATTTCATTGAGTTCGCAAATCTCGTGGGGCAGAAAGTGCTTCCGCACGAAGGCATATGAACTGGATGCCTCGGTAATATAGACAAATCCGGGAAAGTTACGCACCATTCGCACACCCTCATCCGGGGGCAACCAAATGTTATCGCGTTTGCTGTTTAAAATCTTATTCAAATGCAGACTACGCACATCGGGATAACTTGATGTCTGAAAGAAATTTGAATAATAGGTTTAATGATTTAATAGTAAATGGCAAACATTTACCTCTATATAGACTTTGGTATATATTAATGGCTGAACGGACACCTCGAGGTTGCTATCCGCCAGTTGTTGGATCGTTCGTATGTTCGATTTGGGTGGCTCTCCCAGCAGAATGGATACAACAACCGAAGTATAGAAGTTGTACAAGAGGAAGCATAGCAACATTACGGCATAGAACACCATGCGACCGCCTGTAGAGCGCGGTAGCAGCCAGGCACCCTGAATACAAGCGGCACCAAACGACAGCAGGCAGCTGGTGAGCAGAGAGGGTCTGATATCTATGTCATTTAGTCGACGCTCCAGACGAAATGTCATCCAGAGTAAAAGGCCAGCAATCAACAGCAAAGAGCCAAATATAAACCAAACTGTCGCACTGAAGGGCTGCAGAAACTCCGAAATGCGTAGCTCAACTGCAGATGATTTGGGATTGAGGAACATGCACGTGGAGCGAAAGGCCGAATGCCAGGACAGCATTTTGAAGTATTTAGTACGTCGACTGGAGAACAGAAATCCAGTTGCAGTTATATCCACGCTTTGGTTACGGATGTCTCCCATGAGACCTCCTGTCAGTTCTGAATCTGACCACCGATCACGGAATATATAGGTATAGCTACAAACAGAACCTTTTCGGGTTTGTTTTAATAAATAATTCGTAATCTTACTTGCAATCAAGCAAATCCTTGAACACTTGATGCGTCTGAAAACCAAATCTGGCAAATGAATCATTATTGATATCATCTTGACGACTAAGAAATTCCTTAATCTGCGATTCGGGTGAATTGGCAGGAATGGCAGTTACCTGTAAAAATATATGAATGTGTGGGATGTGAAAGCTCTTGAAAGCAACAACATACAACAGCATTGATCCTTAGGGTTAATCCAGTCAGATATCGGCGGTGCTGCAGACGATTCCCCTTATGAAGATCGCTCAAATAACGACTCAATTCACAACGCTGATCATTGCATTTGATTTGTCGATCTACGGTCATGTTTAGCTTAGCGCCCAGATGTTTGCCCTTGTTATACAGATCATAGAGTACAAAGCTATCGCGTTTTGGATTGGGCTCTACATAAGTCAATTCCGTATCGATATATAGTTGCGTCTCTTCAAATCGTCCAAGCACTTCAGTCAAGTTGAAGTCCTGATCGTAGATAAGCCAGTGATAGCGTCCCTTAAAAAGGTTTTTCTCGTTGGCCTGGATGGAGAGGAGTAATCGAGAATATAATATAGGTGTAATATAAAATGTTTATAATATATTAGTGTATAATATATAAAAAGCAATTATATTAAGTTGTTTTCAGATCTAAGATAAAATATGTAAAATATAAAATATGTTTAATATAATATATGAAATAATATTTAATAGAAATAATATATATATATTATAATTTATATATATTCAATTTTTCTCTATTAAAGGTAAGCTGAATCCAGCTGCCGACTCTGAGAAAAAAGGGAAGAAAGTCAAAGAGCCTTCTTTCTCTTTTGTCTAATTTATTTCAAGCATAAATTTTATTGAAAGTTAGGTAAAGTCTGAGAATTTAGTAATGCTGTTGGTACTGTTTTATTTAAAATATTTATTCAAGAGAATACTCACCATAGACAAGAATAACGCACTACTTCGACAATTAATATCCAGATAAATACCCAGCTTGACGAGATTGTGTTCCATGAGATTATCTTGTAAGTGCTCCGATAGGGTGTTTGTGTGGTTAAGGTTAATATATTGAGTGTACAGCATTTCCTTTCCGGCTAATTGTGCAATGTGAAAAAGTGCTGCAGGAAATAATTAATTAATAATTATTTAAAACATATAAATAGTCGACTCACAATCAGCTGTCCAACAATGCAAAAATAGTATATTATTTAATTTTGCAATATGCAAAAAATAATATAAAATAAATTGAGATAGAAACATTGCGCTTGAACCAAACAGCGGCTAATAATGCCGCCAGCTAATAATAATTCGCCTTTTTATATGCCTCCATAATGCATACTTGATAAATTTCTATCAAAAGGCAGTTGACAGTTGATGACAGCTCCATGAAATCTTGTCTATAAGCGATGTGAACTGTCTTACTTGACTTGATTGAGCAGCTATAAATTATTTACAGATTGCGCTAGATGAACTTACCTAGTTAAAGTTTAATGTGTTTCTATTAATTATTCCGCAGTGGGCAAACGCTGGGATTGTCGTCTGCCGAAGTAAGCCCAGCCTAGTTCCAGTATTAGGGTAATCATCGAGGCAATGTAGGAAAGCAGCAGACCTATAAAGAGCGGCGCTGCATATTCCATGCCCACATTGATGACATAATTGTTGGCGAAGCAGTGCAGCTTGGCCTTGGTATAGAAGAGCTTATGTTTCTGAATAATGCCCGTCTCCAGCATGCGCACATGGATTTGCTTCAGTAGCTCCTTGTAAGTGGATTTCTTGTGCACAATCATGTAGACATTACTCTCCGGACGGAACATGATTTCATTCAATTCGCATATTTCATGCGGCAAATAGTACTTCTCGATGAAGGTGTATAGGTTTGAGGCTTCCGAGACGAAAACGAATCCAGGCTGATCACGGGCTCGCAGCACACCTTCATCGACTGACATCCAGATTTGTTTGGGATCATGTCCATCCACCTTGCGCTTAACCAAAGCTCGGATATCGGCACGTGGTGAGCTCTGCAAAGAATTTTATTGGGGATAGTCCAATTTAAGCGGGTTTCACTTACATTTAAATACGTTTTAGTGAAGGAAATTGTTTCGAAGCCCACATCCAAAGAGCTGTCGGCCAGCTGCTGCATGGTTTTAATATTGGAGCGAACCGGCGAGCCCAATAACGTGGACACCACAATCGACGTGTAATAGTTGTACATAAGAAATGAGGTCATCATGAGTGCTATGAATGCCAGACGGCCGCCCGTCGAGCTGGGTATCAGATGAGAGCTCTGAATGCAGGCGGCGCCAAAGCTAATCAACAAACTGCTCAACAGCGAGGGTATATACTGCATACAGTGCTGCATCCAACGATGCTCCAGTCGAAAGGTTAGCCACAGCAATATGCCAGCAAGGATCAGTGTAACGACAAAAACCAACCAGACACTGAACTTGAAGGGCTCCAGAAAGACGCCAGCTTTGATGCCGGCATTGTGTGGAGTGCGAAAAATGCAAATCGAGCGAAATTGGCTAACTTCCATGGTGGGAAAGATGTGACGCATTCGCTGACTTGAGAGCACAAATGCCGATGTCGACAGTTCGACATTCCCGTCGATCACCACACCTATGGCGCCGCCTTGGGTATCATTTACGCTCCACAGATTACGCCAAATGTAAGTTAAGCTGTAGGCGATTGCGAGATAGACAACAAATACTCAAGTTTCCCACTCATATGATGAAACTTACTTGAATCTCAGCAGCTCCTGTAGGTGCAAATTATGGCGATAGCCCAAACGTGAGGGCCAATCCATATGCACGTTCTCTTCGCTATTCAGAAACTCGAGCAGCTTCTCCTCGCCCACGCTCAATGGCTTAACGGTCACCTACAGCAAATCAGTGGGTTTAAAAACATGGCCTGAGTTGCTCTCCAAATGCTGCTTACCACGGCAACTTGTCTGAAGGTAACTCCGCTCAAATCCATGCGCTGCTGCAGTCTGGTTCGTTTGTATAAATCACTCAAATATTGGTTGAGCTCACATTTGGTTCGATTGCATTTGATGCTCTGATCTATCGTTATATTGAGCTGACCACCCAAGTGGCTGCCTGGATTGTAGACATCGTAAAGTGTGAAGAGGCTCTCGTGTTTGGAGTATTGCTCTTCTTTCACATAGGTCACATCCGCATTGATGCTCAGATTAGCTCGCACAAAGAGTTCCTCAAATCGATTCACATTGCCTGCTTTATCGTAGATCAGCCAATGAAAGTCTTGCGTATAGAGCTGGGCTTGACTGGACTATAAGTAGTTGTTGTATGTAAAAATAAATGTTTATTTATTTTTTATTTTTATATATATTTATATATCATATACTATTGAATTTGTACATGATTAAGTTTATATATATTTCGTTTTATTTTTAATTTTATATAATTATATACATATATTATACTATTAGTCTATTTACTTACCTGATTAGTTATATAATTGCTCTGCTCACAGTTCAAGTCTAAAAACACACCCAATTTCTTTAATTCACTATCCAAATATGTCTTACTAAAGTTAGCCAGGTGCTCGTTGGACTGATTCAGATTTACGTATTGCGAAAATATCAAGTTGTGAGAGAATAATTGGCCCAATGGTAAAAGAGCTGTAGAAAAATATAAATAATTAATATAATATATAATTATATTACTTGAAGCCGTTATATTATATATTTTTCTCAATCAAATTAATGAGAAAATATTTTTTTATGTATGTAAATTTATATAGATAGATATTTTATTTTATTTTATATTTTATTTTAATTTATCAAGAATTAATTTACATAACATAATAATAATTTTCTCATTCATTTCATTTGTACAAATTAATGAGAAAAATAATGTTTGTATATATTGTATTATAATAATTAAAATTTTTTGTACTTAAATTTGTCTGAAATAAATTTAACTATCGTATAACAATAATTATTTTATTAATTTTATTTATATAAATGATTGAGAATATTTATGTTTGTTTGTATTATAATAAATATATATTTTATTTAAATTTCTCTAGAATGAGTTAATTTATTATTATAAAACAATCATTTTCCATTAATTTTATATATACATATAAATTATTATGAAAATTAGTCTGTTTGTTTGTATAATAATAAACATAAAATATTTTATTTCAATTTAGAAAGAGAATAGAATTAATTATTTAATAAATGTACATATTTAAATGCAAGAGATTATTATTATACTCATTCACGAAAGTGAATCAGTATATTGGTTTTGTGCAATGTCCGTCTTGCTGTCCGTCCGTCTGTCCGTCTGTCCGTCTGTCCGTCCGTCCGTCTGTCCGTCTGTCCGTCTGTCCGTCTGTCCGTATGAACGCAATCTATTTCGGCGCTATTGAAGCTAGAGACTTGAAATTTGGAACACATACTCGTGTATATCTCCGATTTATAAAGTGTTAAAATTTTCCCGATCCGCCCACTAGGGGCGTGGCAAATAGGAAAATGCATTTTCCGATATACCAGAAATCATGTTTGTTGAAGAGCTAGAAAGCTGAAATTTGGTATATAAGTCCGCGTTGACCACCCAAGATCACGAGCTATAGCGGATATATCTACGCCCATTGGGGGCGTGGCAAATCGGATAAAACTGTATCTCCTAAAGTTGTAAACCTAGAATGCTGAAATTTTGCACGTCAGCTAATGGTATGATTCTATAAAGTCTGAAAATAAATTATAAGTCTACGCCCATTGGGGGCGTGGCAAATCGGACCTGAAGATATAGTGATTTTTTAAATTCTCCTATATTTTGGACACTATTGATGGCAGAGACCTCAAATTTTGTATATATACTCGGACTGATCACCCAAGACCAAAAAGTTTTGTCGGATATATGTCCGCCCACAGGGGGCGTGGCAAACCGCAAAAGTTTATATCTCCTTAAGTATAATAGCTAGAAGCTTCAAATTTGGATAGTTGAGTTACTGGTAGCCTCCTCTATCGATTCCCCAAAAATAATTTTTACGCCTCTTTAGGGGCGCGGCATATCGAAAAATACCCTGTAATTTTCACATTTTTTGAGGGTAAGCATTCAAACTTTGCAGTTAGGGTACCGTTATCTCTTTCTAAAAACTGACCAAAAATGAGGTGTCTACGCCCAGTTGGGGCGTGGCAAATCGGAAAAACCTGTATATTTTACAGTATTAGAGCGAAACTTAACTACTAAATTGTTGATGGGATGTGAATGAGTATTCCGCAGTCGGTAACGCCCGACTGCAACGTTCTTACTTGTTTTTATTTTATTTTATTTATTTATTTATTTTTTTTCATTATAATAATTATATAATATTTTATTTATATTATAATGGTTTCGTAAGAATGTATTTAATTATTAAGTTTCTCATTCATTTATTTATATATTATTTATATTTCTCAAGCATCCATTTTCCCATTAATTAATCAACGTTTATATAATCATTTACCTGGCAGGTGCCAACAGTGAAATATGAGCACACTGCTCAAATTGCTTTGCAGCAAGTTGTGTATAATCAAATTATATAATGCCAAATTGGCCATCTTGAACTGCACTGGCTGGTGGAGCGCAGTTCGGCCAGGTTTTTATAGCTGCCCAAAAAATTCAGTGCTTGTCAATTATACAATTAAGCTATTACCCAAAAATTTGAGCTGTCTACAAAAATTGAATAATTGGCTTGTCAGCCCAAATCGTGCTCAGCAAGAGGGGGAAGGGGGTCATGCTTCACATTTCGTAGAATCGCAACAGGTGGAAACAAACATTTGGCGCGTCATAACAAAACGCACGTGTTTGGCGATGCGCATGCGCAGAAGCTGAAACGTAAACAGTAGCCAAAGTCAGTCACATTTATGAATGAAGCCACCCACACAGACACACACACACACACACACAGAGAGACATGGAGAATGCCATCTACTCCCGTTGCTGCAGTGTTAATGGATTTCAGCCATGATTTAGCCCGCTGTGGCAGGGCGTCACTGATTTTGCGCCTTTTGCATGTCCGTGAATGTGTTGCCCCGCAGCTCGGCGTGTGTGTGTCTGTGTGTGAGTGAGTGTGAGTGTGCCAGTGTGTTGGTGTTTTATGCTGTCGGCATATCCTCAGCTGCACAATTGAATCTTGGCCAACGCTTGGGTTTTAATGTCGTTTCAGTTGGCGTTGCGCGCTTGGCGCGTCTCGACGTATTTCTGTGTCCAATTCTCACACTAAGCGGGCGGCGCATTAAGGACTCGTTTTCCACTTTGATTCCGTTATCTGTTTGCTTGTTTGTTGTCAATACTGATTGTTGTGGCTGATGTATTCTAGCCGCTGGCGGTGCAAATAAAAAATGTAGATATATATATTGAATATATATCTGTTTATTTGCTGTGTACTTTTAGGTGATTAGCAGTGGATTGAAAAGCGACTGTGGCGCTTGATTGAAAAATTAATTGGAAAACTCAGTGAAGGAAGCAGTTCGTAATGTATTAATAAATCGAAATCAAGTGCTGAAAATTAATTGCTATAAATATTTCCTTTCAAAGCGAATTACACAATAAATGGTGAAGGCAATGTGGCGTATGCGTAATGTGTTTGAGAAAGTTGCTTTAAATTAAATATGTATAATATTTGCGGTAATTCAATAATTAATTAAAAAACTTCTTAAACAAGATAAGAAAATCATGATGTAAAAAAATTCTTAAAATTAATGTGACGATCGTGGCGTATACGTAATATTTAAACTGCTTGAATTATCGTGAACTTAAGGCATTTATATTGGGTTAAAATAAGCTAATTTTACTATTTATCATTGCAATCGAATTACAAATTTGAATAGCAAATAAATGTTTTAAATGCATTCCCATATTTGTCAACATTTTCAGACAGCCAATTAGCGTGTCAAAGTAAACAAAATGCTAATACTAATTTAAAATTGAAGACAGTTGACCCACCAAAGCTGACAAATGCCCAATTAAAACTATTTACAGCTATGAAACAAACCCCAAATGCATTAAAAATCAATTGCGAATGCGGTCGACCAGCACGCGGACCCCAGCACTAAATGCAAAAACCACAAATATGAAATGCACAAAAAATAAACTGAATAAATAAATGAGACAGCGGATAAAATAGAAATAAATGTAAATAAAATTGCTCATTATGGGAGCTAGAAATCCGATAATAACTCAGTCAGTAAATATGTGGGAAATATATGTGAGCTGCAGCAAACGAAACCTAATGCGATTCTGGTCAACCGGGCAAATCATTAACAAAGATTTCAGCTTTCCCCCACGGCTTTGGGCGTGTGGCTGCTGTAATTTACGAGTGTGATCAGATGCACTTAAGCTGCAATTTAAATTTGTAATAGAATGTTTAAGTTTAGTTATTTGCTGTAGAAAAATGCCATGTTATATATGAATATATATTTTTTTTTATGAAATTCACATATTTTGCATTTAGTTTCTTTAAAAACCGACTAACGCCAGTTTTTTGTTGAATTCTGACACTTTATTTTTTTCCTCTTGGCCAAGTTCTCAGTTTTCTCTTGATTTTACTTATTATACTCATTCAGGAAAGTGAAATGAGTATATAGGTTTTGTCTAGTATACAAACCATTTCCCCGCTATTAAAATTAGAGACTTGAGTCGAATTATAAAGTGTGTAGATTTTCCCCATCCGCCCACTAAGGCTTATTGGAAAATGCATTATCCAGTATTTTAGAAACCATGGTAATTGAAGTGCTAGAGTGTTGAAATTTGGAATATATACTCGGGTTGATAGCCAAAAATCGGTAAAGTATATAAATATACTTACGCCCATGGGGGGCGTGGCAATCATGTAAAAATTTACTCTCTACAGTCGTACAGCTAGAAACTCAAGTTTTAATCTACTATAACAAATATATATAATATAAATAATTGTGGGTCGTGAATGAGTATACTGCAGTCGATAACACCCAACTTCAGCAACGTTGCTTGTTTTCGGTACATTTTTCGACAGCCGCGTTACAAAACAACTCTCGAATAGGCAAATGCAAAGCAGACTCGAGTATAAAAAAAATATATACTATAAAAAAAAGAAGGAAGAAGAAAAGAGATGGGCATCGCACGCTTGAGATTTACATTGTAAAGTGATGCGCTTAGCTTTTTACCCCATTCTACAGTCAGCAAGAAAAATCTGTTTATGTGAATGTGTGTGCGTGTGTGTGTGTATGTGAGTGTATCATACCCATAGTATGGAACGACACAACGCAGCCTAACAAGAACTGCATTTAAATTAATTGAATTTTCCAGATTTTTTTTTTTTATTTTGCGTTGCCTGTGAGCTAAGGCCCTCCCGCAGTGGTCGTCCGTTTGTCGAGCTTAACGCTTTGGTCTATAGCTTTTATTGAATTGGTTTGGGGATTTGTTAGTTGACCCACAAGTCAAGTTGATGGTCCCCCACCCATTTGGTCTTCCATCAAGTTTACTTAAGCGTTCTCTCTCTCCAGCTCCCATGCATTTTGTGTGTCATTATGTGTCTGGCCACAGCAGTGCATCTATTTGTATCTATTTGTTACATTCTTCTGCTTCTTCAACTGCTCGGGGATCTTGGGAAAATGTGTTCATTAAATGTGCAAGAATGTTGAAATGCTTTTGTTTACCTTTGAAAAGTCGTTTAGATATTTGATTGCCGTAAATTGAATGTTTGGAAAATAATACATGAGTATTGCCTAATGGATATTTGGCAAAGATTTTGACGATTTGACATTCGAGAGTATTTAGAAGAAGTATCGAAAAGTGAATTGATAGATTGATTGGTTTATTGTATGTACATAAGAATTTTGTTAATCTCGATTGAAGTATTTAAATGTTAAGGAATAAACTTTAAAGAGGGAATTTCATAAAGGAATTAGAATAGAATAGAAAAGATTCGAATTAGAGTTTTATTTTGCTGCTTGAGGACACTTTAACTGAACAGAGTGAACCCAAAAGTTATCTTGAGATAAATAAGTATTTAATAAATATATTTCAATAAATAAAAATATTTTATAAATAAATAATATTTATATAAATTTTGCTTGCAATTAAATATTAACTATAATTTGAAAACTATCACATCAAATTACTCTAAGGTATTCACACAATCTTCAATCAACTATAATTGGATAAACCTGCAATTCGCGGCTTTTTCGCTCTGATTTTGGGCCCACAATCAACCCGTTCAAATTTCCAGTTAACTGCGATTTTATTGTAATATATGTACAAGAGCATGCTGAGCATTCACTCACTTGCTCTTACAACTTTATTTCTTCACCAATTCCTGTGAATTGTGATGCAAATGCCCTAACACCAACTGAAACATTATGTGAGTCCTCCAGTCAAGGGCGTTTGACTACGAAGCAGATTTCTTATGTGATTTTGCGGCAAGCAAATTTAAAATTGAATCTAGATATTTAGCAAATTAAATTGCACTCTTTGAACATATGTCGAAGCAATTGAATTACGTTTTAAATATTTAATACATATGGGAAAAGTTTCCAATAATCTCTAGAAAAGAAATTTATATTAGGAATAATGAGTGAGCTCAATTCTCTTTTTATTGAAATATTATTTAATTTAAATCGATGCTTATATATTCAGTGGCAGATGGACTTTAGCTTCTGTTAAAATATTTAAAAAGTATAAAAATAATTTTTAAAAATATAAAATTAATAATATAAAAAAATAAAACAATTAAAAATATAAAAAATAAAAATAAAAATGAATAAGTAGTATGATTACTTAGTAAATTTTAGACTCTCTTGATTTAATAATAAATAGTTTGAAACAAATATATAGAGAAATATATATTCCATATAAAATTCTTTTCTTTCTTCTTTTTTAAAAACTTGTAATTAAAGTAATATATTTTATATAAAATTATCTGTTCTTTTTAGGAAACATTTATTACATTTATTAATTTATGAGTTTGACAATAGCCAGCTCTATCGTCTATATTTATTTATTATAAAAGAGATTGACAAAGAGAGCTTAAATTTAGATTGATTAATAACTTAAACAATAAAGTGTGTAGCCTGAATAAGAACAGAAAATTTTGATTGAATATCACCAACCTGAAGAGCTTTGTTTTTGCCAGATCGGGCAGTTCTGCATTTCAATAAAAACATCCTATTCCCATTTATTTTTTTTTTTAACACTTTCCGCCATACAAAACAGCTTTAATACATTATCTAGCGTACATCACTTATAATCTACTGCCTTCCATATCAGCTCTGCAAATTTGTCAAATATTTTCTCTTAATTTTTCTGACACCTTGAAGTGCATTTTCGCGTCAATCATTCCGCTCAATAAACATGTTCGCATATCAATTGATAACTCAGCTGAGCATTAACGGCCGAAGCTTTGCATTTTATCTGAGCGTCTGCTCTACAGGAGAATGTACTTAGCAAAGGCAAAGGCAAAGGCAAACAACTCCGCTCAACTAATACCAGCTACACAGGCACTCAGCTCTGTTGTGCGTGTTGGTAAAACGTGATCCAGAAATCCTGACCATGCTCTGGGCAGCACGTGCAGCAGTTCTGCTCTGAAATAATTACAATTGCATTATTTTATGCCTGGACTTCATTGAAACAGTCGGACCGCAGTAATGATTCAAAAAAGGCTGTGGCATACATTTCTGACATTCATTTAATTAAAATGCACTTTTTAAAGCTACTTAGGTTAACTAGAAAACTTGTGGCCAACTTTTTGCTGCCACTGACAATAGAATTTCGCACGGAGCCTAAAAACTAAATTCTATATGAAATACACATTCATATATACAAATATATGTATAAGCCCATATAAGTTGAGATTGAATGCTGAACGCAGGGAGCACAAAAATAATGTTAGACTCAGACTTGGGTTAAGGTTTTCCGCTTCGGGTCTATTGAAACCACCTGCTGTACCCACACAGGCAGAGCCGAAAGAAAATATAATATACATCAGTTTATATGCACCAGATGTTTAGAAGTATGGTTAGAAAGGCATGCAAGTGTGGAGTCATAGCTGAAATACTCTATAGAGTTGAAATTATGGGAGGAATTTAAATGTTGGATAGAATTAATGTCAAAAAATAATAAACAAAATAAATTTAATAAACTAATTTTTGAATATAGTTTGCCAATAATATAATAAAAGAGAGATATTATTCAGATTTCTTATCTTGGGACAACCTAATTTTTTTATATTAAATTTTAATATAAAATAATATAATAGAGGAATTATTTAAACTTCTCAATCATAGCTTGAATGCTCTATAAAGTTGAAACATAGGAGAAAATTATTATTAAATAATATACAAATATTATATTTTTCTTGGGTATATACTACCAAATTTATTCCTTAATGAAAAAAATAGCAAAATATAATTTTAGTTTCGATTAATATCAAACAATTCATAATTAAAATAAATTTTAGAAAATATAATCATTGAAATACAAATCTCAAAAAATATAATATATTACAGATATTATATTAAATTCAATTTAATTATTATTGTATCAAGCAAGAACTTTGGTGCATTGCAAACTCAATTTATACCCTGCAAGGACACATGCGGTTGGTGATAACAATGCAGCTGGCAGAGCCGAAAAAAAGGCGACATATTCTATAGAGCCTGGGCACAGAGGGCACAGAAAGAAAATGGCAAATGGTACAGAGCGGAAGCTGATGCGGTGGGCGGTAGGAGGAGGAGGTAGCCTTCAAAAATTGAGTGCAATTTAGACGACGTTGATGAGAAAATGCGTTGAACGTGCTCAAGTTGTGCTCTACGCTTGTGGCCGGGTCTACATTTTAACCCTTTCGCCAGTTTAACAAAGGCACAAAGCGTTGGGCAAGGCGCGAGGCGCCGAGATGACACGAGAAGCCAAGCGAGCGCGTCAACCAAACCAAGAAATTAGAAATAAAAGCTGCTTCCCTTTGCTTGGGCCAGAGCTTGGGCTTGGGCTTGTGCTTCGGCTTGTTGGTTGGCTGTTTGCTATTTGTTTGACGAAAAAGCGACCGAAACGAAAAATAAAACAAATGGTTATTAAAAGGGAAAGTGTATGTATGAGTGTGTGTGTATGGCTCAGATTACGGCACACAATTTATGTTCATCTGGTTAATTTATGATGAAAGCCAATAGTATATATTGTAGTATGAGAAGGGCTTGAGTAGGGTACTCAACAGTCAAGTAGTTAATGTATTTCAGTCTAGCGTTAATTATAAAAAAAGTAAACAATCATTATGCATATATTTAACAAAATAAAATATGAAATAAATTTTAATAAACATATACATACATTTATTGTATAAATAAAATGATTATAATAATTTGTAAAATAATAAATAAATAAGATATAAATAGGTATATCTTTCTAGCTGAAATAAAATATATACAAAATAAATATTAATTGTAAAAAAATTTTAAGGGAGTAAGAGAGTCGAAAATTGGTTTTATTAAGTAAGCTTCAACAAGTCAAGAAGTTCAAAAAATCAGCAATCATTCAATATCAACATCAATATCCATATCAATAATACAAATAACATTTCTAATATCAATAATTTGCACAAAAGTTTTAACAGCAGCAAGCGCAGCTTCAATTAGGAAAAATATCCACTCAATTGCTATAGCATTGCTTCCATTTCAATATCAATAACATTTTCAATATCAACGTCAATAATATGCACAAAAAGTTTCAGCTCTGAGATTAGATAGCAAGCGCTACTTGAAAGCGTTTGAACTTTCACAGATTTTTTACATCCGTCAAGTGCTGGGCAAACCAAGCGAACATAATGCAGATTTCCTTGCAACATATTGTATGTAGTGTAAGTAGTTAAAGAAGCCCAGAGTCTCAGACCAAGATTGGGCTGGCCGCCTGCCCAATTAGCAAACACAGCGCCTAATCAAGTGGCAAGTAACATTGACGAGAACCCGAGGCCTCGATGCCGAGCCGAGCTGAGCTGAGCTGAGATGCACTGGCTATAAGATGCTATCAGATGGCCGACTTGAAGGCAAGGCAACATGCATGGAACCTCCACTTGCTATACAAAATAGTTAACGCCACCTGATGCCTGATGGCTGATGGCTGATGCCACCTCAAACACGCACACTTACCAAATTAGGTTAGTGGGTGAGACGTATAATCAACTTATGGGTCGCATTGTGTCTTGCATAATTAGATGGATGGCTGAATGGTGTCCGCCTTGACGCCCTGTGACCAGCCATTGGCCAAGTATGAGGACTTATTTAAGGACTTGCCTCCTTATGTAATGAGAGACCAGCTGACTGGCTGGCTGGCTGGCTGCCTGGCTGACTGGCCTGTCTTTATGCTTAATGGCATTTGATTTTTCATTAACGGCTTGTGGTGCCGCTCGGTTGGGCTGCTTGGCTGGGCGCTCTGCGCGTGTTAATTCGATTTAATAACTCATCGTCAATAAGGTTAAGGGTGTGCACAGTATTCACATTAAAAAAATATATATTTTTTTTTATAAAAAAATGTGCGTTCAACGTGAGCTTCATGTGCATTAATCTTCCAGCGAGTGCCGAATGAGCTGGTTGAATTTTTATATTACGCATACGCCGTGTGTTGCGTGAATGAATCAATCAAAATATGTTGATCATATGTACATAAATATATATTAATAAAAAATATTAAATTTAAATAGTTTGGAAGAAAAAAAACTACTTCAAGTTGAAGAGAACAGCTAGATCTTAATGTGTTCTAAATAATATTACGCATACGTCGTGTATTACTGCTGTGAAGCCATTAAGAATTATTGAAAATATATTTTCTTAAACAAAGACATTTAATTTGAGGAGCTCAAGAATGTAAAGAATATAACTAATTTAAAAAAAAATGGGCCAACTCATTTTTCTTCTCTCTCAAACTATATTACGTATACGCCATGTTTGGCTGGTATAAATGAATCAAAATATATTGGTGTATATATTTTAGACAATAAAATGAAAAATATTATAGACTAAAATACGACAAGTTGAACAAACATAAACGAACTAAATTTTAGCCCATCCAAATTATATTGCGTATACGTCGTTTAATTGTTTGTGTAAATCAATGAATATATACTTTCTATATTTTTATTTAAAAGAAATATTGTAAAAAATTCTCTTAAATATATAAAATAAATACAGGCTACTATAAGTGACATAAAAATAATAATTCAATTCATAAAAATCAGATAACGTATACGCCTTGTATGCGACAAGTGTGCGAACAATCACAAGTTGTTAAATTCATATTTCAGTGAAGACAAGAAATTCAATTTTTTAAACAGACAATAAACGAAAACTAGTTAAGCTGGCAAGAACTAACTAATTGCTTAGCATAAAACTGAATGCTCCTGGCTAATTGGACCAATCAAACTACTGGCAGTTAATCAAACTGCCAAGAGCAGTTTGGCCAGTCGCCAGTCTTCCAGTCGGCCAGTCTTTCAGTCGGCCAGTGCAGACAATTAAAATCATAAAACTCATCGCAAAAGCCGCCAAAGCGAACTTAAATACACAAAGACCAAAAAGTCAAGATACTGGCCAAGATAAACGGAACTAATGCGAGCCAAGGCAGTGGATGAGAAAGCTTGTGAAATTAAGAAAAACGCTCAGAATGCAGCCAGTGTCGAGTGCAACATCCGGTGCATAAATGAAAATAAATACCAAAAGCGGCTGGCAAACAAACTAGAAAACGAGAACTGTCAGCAACAGCAGCAGGAGCAGCAGCAGCAGCAGCAGCAGTAGCCAGAGTAGCCCGTGTGGCAACAACTATAAACAGGAGCTGGAGCTGGACACAGTTGGAGCGACAAATGTTAGCCAAACGGATGTGTAGATTAGGCCAGAACAGTTGTCCATCAGCCGTCTAAACAATAGACCCAACAACAACAACAACAAAGGCAGCAACAACAATTACAAATCTCTGCAATATGTGTGCAAGAAAAGCAACTACAACAACAACAACATCAACTAGAACAACAACACCAACAAAAACAACATCCGGCCATGCATCGGCTGACCTCATCGACGACAGCGGCTACTGTGGCAGCAGCAGCAGTCGTTCGTCCTGGCTGGCGCAAGGACAACGTTTAAACTTGCGCATATTTAAACTTTTGATTAGCTGCTCTGCCCTAATGTGCTGCATTTATACAAATGCCTGGCAATTGTCCATGCTGGGCCAACTGGGCACCGGGGTCATGGCCGGCAGCATCAAGGGACGGGGCGAAACGCATCGCCTCGATGAGATTGGTGCCGGCTCCTTGACGCGCTCCTGGCTAACCCAGAGCAACAATCATGCCAACATCTCTGAATTGCTGGACAATTTGCTGCGTGGCTATGATAATAGCATTCGACCGGATTTCGGTGGTAAGTTTGCCAAATAAAATGTAGTAAAAGAGCAAAAGCGAGATAGCTAATAAATGTTTTTAATATGTAAAAAGAGAGGGGGAAAACTAAACTGTGAAAACCCGGAACACATGTTAGGGAAAATTGAGCGTGTAATAGAATTGTCAAAAAATATTATTATTAATAAAAGCTGCAAAGATTAAATTTATATTACAAATACATAAATTTTTGTATATTATAAATGAGACGTATCATATTTCTAGATGCGAAAGCCTCTACGTCTTTGTATATCATTTTAAATAATAAATAAACGTTGAACTAAAGGCATTTCGATCTTAAATTATTATTTTAAAAAAATAAATAAATAAATAAATAAAATACATTTTTTTAAATTTATATATACCTTTTTGTTAACTGAACACAAGTAATAAAATAAATGTAATTTATTATATATTTATTATATTTATTATTTGTTATCAAGCTTGCTAAGAAATAAAAATATTGCAGTCGGTTGATACGGACAGAAAATCTTGATACGTTGTCATCATCTAAATAGAAGATCGGACAATAAGACTGAATTAAGAAATAAGAAGGAAACAAAATAAATAAATATAAAAACAAATAGTATAGTCTTTTATTTCTTATATTCGGCATTTTCTACAAATAAATATAATTTTAAAAAAATATACAAATATTTTGAAATTTTAAAAATCCATAATAATAAAAAAATGTTTTATTCTTTTTATCAATATTTAAAAAAAATATATATATTTTATCCTTTATCCATTTTATATCTGCCCCCAACACTTTCTCCTCTATTGACAAATTTAGCAGCTTCCATTAGCAAAATATTTATTTGTTAGATCTACAAAATATTTACAAAACGCCAATTGAGCATCGAATGACATTTCTCCTGGCAATTCCTGGCCTCCATTTATATCCGGTTGTGTGGTTAGAGTTTTGTTTATACCTTTTGGCTGTTTACCCTTTTGCCAGTTTCCTGTAATCAGGATGCAAGTGCGTCAACATCGCAGATTTGCCCCTTGAACGGAAGCGTTTAATGAAGCGGAAATCGCTGCCAGGAGACATACGGCATAGCACAGCCCAAGGCGACAATAATAATGATAATGATGATGATGATGATGATGGCTATGATGGCGATGATGGAGACTTGACAGCCAGCTAGCTCCCTAGGCAAATAGTTAGTGTCAAAATCGACAAAATATTTACATACAATTTCAGTGCGTTTCTGTGCCGTTATTTGTGTGCTTGGAAATCTCTCTCGCCCTGCTCTCCACCCAATTGATAAGCTTTTTCAATTTTCCAAATGGTCTGCACCATAAAAATTTAAATATTTTCGAAATTTAAAAGCCTTGTGGCATGGCACTCAATGTAGCTTAACGCGAATTCCCATTCCATACTTCCCTTCTCTTCCCTACCCATCCCTGCCCTTCCCATCCCTTCTCTTCTACTTCCCTTCACTCCACTCAGGCAGCAAAAGTTTGCGTTTACGCAACTTAAGCCCAAATTACATTGTTTTAAACACTTCATTAAGAATGGGCTCGGCCGCTAAGTGCGCGACGATGCAACGCGATGAGCATGCAGGATATAAGGATACGCGGCATGCATCCTGCCTAACGCGTGTTTACCCAGCTCAACGCCAAAGTCATTAAAAACTGTGCGGATAGGCAAAAAAAGGAAAACATGAAAACAAAACAAAAAGTGGGGAAAAACTGCATATTAGCGCAAAATACATGAACATGCAAAGGCTGATAGATGATACGAGGGAGTGGCAATGAGACTGTCTGCCAAGCGGCTTAAGTGTCATTGTTCACAGCGCCAGCATTTAAATTCTGTTTCAAGCGAAAGACTCTTCCATGAATTATTCATATGGAGCGGAATTATGTCGAACATATTTATAGAGAATATGTTGGCAAAGCCACAAAGAGAATCTAGCGTTGGTAACACAAAGATAGTGTGGAATGCATATAAAAAAATTAGGAGTATTTTTATATAAATACATAAAATGAAATTATATTGAAATAATATTCTAAAAAAAATATACACAAAAAAAATACTTAAAAAAATAAAATAAAATAAATACAAAAGATTGAATTTTTATTATTATTTAATTTATTTAAATTCAAATAATAAAAATAAAATTAATTAAAAATCTATTACCTTAAAATTAAAAATATATATATTTTTGGTTTCTATTAGTATATCTAAATATAAAATTATTTAAATAAATTATATATTAATAAAAAAAAAAAAACATTTAAATTGTATTTTTCATTGATTTTTTTTAAATTTATTATTCTCATTTATATTAATTTATTTTTATAAGCAATATTAGAATAAAATTATTTAAAATAAAAATGCCTATAGTTTTATTAAAAAATTAATAAAAATGTGTATTAAAAAAAAAGTATTCAATAAACAAAATAAAAACGGGTTTAAATAAGAATATATCAAAATAGTAAGATATACAGTTGCAGATTCCGTAGAGCTCATTCCTCCCAATTAAATAAAGGCTAACAAAATTAAAATTAAATCCACTTGAATATTATTTGAATTTATTTGCAGGTCCACCAGCTACCATTGAAGTGGACATAATGGTGCGTAGCATGGGCCCAATCTCAGAAGTGGATATGGTAAGCTACATGATAGCTACAAGTCTTTAACGTATAGCATATATAAGCTTAATGCCCTCACATCAAAGTCCTGTGCACGCACAGCCAGTCAAGAGTCAAGCTGAAGTCAGCGAACAAATGGCTTGAACACCTTCTGGCTGCGTTCGCCACATTCAATAAAAGACGGCATTTCAGCTCTGATTCCGTTGACTATGTCCTTTGCAGACGTACTCGATGGACTGTTACTTTCGACAATCCTGGGTGGATAAACGACTCGCCTTCGAGGGTGCCCAGGACACGCTGGCGCTGTCAGTGTCAATGCTGGCGCGCATCTGGAAGCCGGATACGTATTTTTACAATGGCAAACAGAGCTATTTGCACACGATAACCACGCCGAACAAGTTTGTGCGCATCTATCAGAATGGCCGTGTCCTCTACTCCAGCCGTCTGACAATTAAGGCAGGCTGTCCCATGAATCTAGCGGATTTTCCCATGGACATACAAAAATGTCCGCTCAAGTTTGGCTCATGTAAGTGAAAAATGAATTGAATAAAAACACTAAACAGCGCTGCGGTTTAGGAGCGGAAGAAGGAGAAGCGGGAAGGGAGCAGAGAGGAGGTTAAGCATATGGCTGTGCTCTGGCATAATTATGCATAATTGATGCTTATGGCGCTTTGATGCGCCTTCCGACAGCCATATTAATGGCATGTCCGTGACGACCACTTGTTGGAAGGACAATAATGCACAAGTGTGTGTGTGTGTGCGTGCCTGTGTGTGTGGATGGGTAGAGGGCTCAAGCATGGATCATGACATTGAATACGATTGTGGGCAAAATTGGTTAAGTAAAAGGGTTTTCGAGTGCGGTAGGGCAGATCTGGTTTCACTTGAAATCATAACATTAAAATGTTTGCTGTTTAGATTATAGATATGTCAGGGAATTCATAATTCATTGTTAAATCAATTTTATGTCATAAGCCTTCATAGCAAACAAAAACTCTTAAGTACCTTATGGCCCGCTTAGGAATTCTTGCATATGTTCGTCTTTCCGATATAACAGAATCGTATATGGAAATTATATTTATATTTATATCATATATATATAGCATATATATCGAGTATTTATCATATATGTATATATGTATACCCACAATATATAAACTTTGCTATAGCAATTTCAGCTCGAGCTCAGCCCAACTCTTTCTCTCTAGATAGAACATTTCCAGTGCCCGTTCTAAGCAGCTTAATGCCTCTGTCATTTCCTATGCTTCTTAATGCTACTTTATACAGCTCTACTAGCCATACTATACCTTATATAAACTAAATATTCAGTCTGCTTTTGTTATTACACCTCTGAATATATGCAGGTGACATTTCAATTATTCCTGCCAAGCTAAAAAAAAAAAAAAAAAAACGAAAGCTTCTGACGTTGATGTATTTTCAACACAGAATTTTCTTGCTTCTTTTATTTTATTTGTTACACATGCAAAATTGAAAATCTAAAAAGGTTCTCTTCTCCATTTGGCCAGAATGTAGGCGAGCTGTTAACAGTTAACTGCTTTCAGTGCTTATCGCAGGGCTAAATTAACAGACACCTTCGAATACAGTTGGTGTTATTGCTTCCGATTTGTTGCGAATAATGTTGCATGCAGTCGAGGATTCAATTATCGCCCCCAAACTCTCTGCTGTTATTGCCCGCCACCTAATGTTGACAATTTCCCATTTGATGTGATGTCGAGTCACTGAAAATATTGACAGAGTCAGCGGAAAGTAGCCGAAAAAAGAAAATTACATATATACGCATACACATACATATATCTATATGTATGGGTATAAGGTAAATTAATCCGCAGTGTTTGGCAATTTGTGCAGCAGCTAGGCGACAACAACAACAACAACAAATAAAATATCTGGCACGTGCGCTGATAGCAAAGTGTGGGCGCTGTGGATGCTGGAGGAGCTGTAGGAGTTGCTCTGGGAAATTGGTTATATGAATGGCACTGAGGAAACTATGATGCACTGTGATTTAACTAGTCTGGTCCTTTATTCACTCACTTTTTCAGTGAACTGTTATTTTCGTAAGTAGTTGAGGAACTCAAAATGAAGGAAGAATGTATATATAGCATTTATAGTTAGGAGACCAATATAGTGGCATGTAAGAGATTTTTGCAGAGGGATTTCGGAAACTTATTCCGTTTCGCTCTCCTCGTTGGCATGCCTATATTTATTCTAGAGTAAGTTCTATAAGTGCAATTAATAGAAATAAAGTTAATTTAGTAGAAACAATTTAGAGACTTAAACTTTAGAATGTCAATCGTACTTCTCACGAATCAAAAATAATATACCACTAACCATAAAACACATGCGCAAAAAAAAAGTGTGAGAAACGATTTACACTACGTGTCCGGTCTTTGTGTTCTATCATTAGAGATATTACTCTGAAATCGGGCAAAGAATACTCGATTTAGAATTATATAAAGCACAAGACGTTATATTGTATTTAATATTTTAGTCTTTGAAATAATTTAACTTTTTTGTTAAAATTTTTAATTTAATAATTTGTATTAATTTTTTAGTAAATAAATTTATATTAATTTTCCATTTTCAATTTACTTAATATTTTTTTAAATTAATACATTAAAAAAATCTTGTATTCTCTTATTGATAGCCAATATTATACAGTAAAAAGTCTTAGCAAATAAAATTTATTTATAGTTAGGCAATATGTACATATATCAAGTCATTAAATAGGAGAACAAAACATTAATAATTTTCTCATATACAAAGCAAAATATTCGAGCATAAATTCAGCTAAAATGCTATTTGGGAAATTTTTGGGAAATAAACGAGAAGCTCTAAAAATTATATAAAAAGACAAACCACATTTAATATTAAAAGCTGGAAAATTTAATGACAAACTGCAAACGTTCATGGGTTCCACTCAGACTGCTGCAGCAATTTTAGCATCTCTATTTGTTAGATATTTTTTAATTGACAAAATATGAAATGAAAAAAAAAAAAAAAAAAAAAAAAAAAAAGCAAATCTTACCCACATATTGCACTTGCAAACATTTCACACACAGTTGGCTATACCACGTCGGATGTCATTTATCGCTGGAACAAAGAGCGTCCGGCAGTTGCCATTGCGGAGGACATGAAATTGTCCCAATTCGATTTGGTCGATTGTCCGGCGGGTAATTTGACGGACATTGTTTACAAGGCAGCGGCACCGATGCCGCAGAGCTACAATAACAAGGACACGCTGTCAACCAAACAGCCACCCAGCAGCAGCAGCGCCACCAACACCCTCACCCACAGCAACAGCAACAGCAACAACAACAACAAAGTGTTGACAACTTTCGCTGGGCCGGGAGCCAAAAATCAACATGTCCGCGGCACAGGCTTAAAGCTAGACAAAGGCGCATTTGGCTCGGGTCGCGGCATTGCCGGCGGCGGAGGTCTTGTCACGAATCTGGCCGGGAGCATCAGCCTGGAAACCCATCATCCATGTAAGTTGTCAGTTTAGCGCTCTGACCTGCAGCTGGTAATCCTTTCATATCTCTGTCCATAGCGGAATACTCCATGCTGATGGTGAACTTCCATCTGCAGCGGCACATGGGCAACTTTCTGATCCAGGTCTATGGGCCGTGCTGCCTGCTCGTGGTGCTCAGCTGGGTCTCCTTCTGGCTGAATCGGGAGGCAACGGCGGATCGCGTCTCGCTGGGCATTACCACGGTGCTGACGATGACGTTCCTGGGCCTGGAGGCGCGCACGGATCTGCCGAAGGTGTCGTATCCCACCGCTTTGGATTTCTTTGTGTTCCTCTCGTTCGGATTCATCTTTGCCACCATCCTGCAGTTCGCAGTGGTGCATTACTTTACCAAATACGGGTCGGGCGAGTGCTACTTCATTATCGAGGAGCTGGACACGGATTCGGCAGAGTCCGAAACGGACGTGGACGCCAGCGGCCAGTCGGATTTTCGCGGCAGCAGCGAGTCCAAGATCTACGAAGTCATACCGCTCTCCATGTGCGCCATCAGCATGCCAGCGTCGGGCGGCAGTCGGCTCGGCATGCTGCACTCCAGACGCACCACGCGCAATCGCCGCCACGGCCTGGGACGCTTCAGCTTGTGGCGCTGCCTGGAATGGTTCGGCTGCCGGCGGCGGCAGCGACGTCCGCCTCGCAAAGCCACCTGCTCCGACGAGGAGGAGGAGGACGACGAACAGACTCAACTGCGCGCCGATGAGGCGCCCTGCACCTCGGCAGCAGCTGCAGCCGCCGCAGCCGCTGCATCCTCGGCTGGCCAAAGCTCGCCGCCCCATGTGGGCCGGCGTCGCATGTCCTTCTACAGGCGCGAGGAGATGGAGGCGAGACGCAAGGGCAAACGCACGCCCCAATACAATTCGGTGTCGAAAATCGATCGCGCCTCCCGGATCGTATTCCCATTGCTGTTCTTCCTGATCAATGTGTTCTACTGGTATGGCTACCTGTCGCGCAGCTCACGCATCTTGGCCAACACGCAGACGAGCACCTGATGTTACCTTTTAGCAATTTAGACACAGTCCTCAAAAGAAATCAGCGTTCCACAGAGGCAGCGGAGGAGCTAGAGCAGCGGCAATGGCAAGGATGTTTAACAAGTATACATATGCATTAAATATATGATCTATGTGTGGGAATTTCGGCTTCAGTTATTTGCTCTTAACCTGATTTGCTACCAACTACTACGAACGCTTTACACGATTTCTTTTCGCGCTAAATTGCTAAATATTTCAATGCAAAACTTACATATCACAGGACTACAATTTGTAAATATATATACATCGGGCATATGCCATATAGATCATATGTGTATATGCCATGTGTATGTATAGCTCGAATGTCAATATTATTTGTACAGTTAGCCTATAAGTTGCCAATTCTTGGAGCTTTTAATCGCTTAGTTAGACAACAAATATAATGGCTATTTCTAATAAGTTCTATAAATATTTAATAATATATACATGTATATATATGAATTTATGTATATATTTCTGTATGTATATTTATATACATATATACAGCTGCGGTTATAAAAATAATAGTGCGACAGAGCACGAAACGTTGGAGAAGAAAAACCTAGTGATAAAGTCAATATTTCGAAAAAAAAAAAAAAAAAAAAACTAAAACGAATATTAAGATTAACAAATACTGTACTTATATTGCACGATTGTATAGTTTGTTATTGCAGTACTATTTTTATGACCGTTGCTGTATTTTATATAAATACATATATAAATATGTGTGTATATGTTTATTTATATATGACTGTAGCATTGTTTAGTTCACATTTATCTAATGAGCTTTTCTAGTTACGATTTTGTTGTTGCTCTCCACATATGTGCTGCATATAAAAATAAAAAAAGATTAAAAAAAAAAAAGGAAAATTGAAACCGAAACAAAGTACAGAACTTAGTCGGACTCAACCGACTGTATAATACTCGTTCACGTTGCAAAAGCAGCGAAACTTAAGTGAGAGTTCTCATTTTCCGTTTACCTATCTATGTAGCTGTAAAATTATAGAAGATTTTATTTGTTTCCCAAAGGGGTTTATACATATATTTAATGATATACCTATGTCATTTTGAACAGTCGAGGGATTAAATGAAATTCAAGGCATAAAACTGTCAATTATACTGTTTTTTAGGTTTCGACTTGCCTCCAGAAGGCCGTTCCTACATTTATACCATTATTTTAAGAGCCTATCTCTATAATGAGTCTCGATATATAGTAAAATTAATGCTAATATAATAATTCCCATGTTGATACTTACCTAAAGTGAACGGATACATAATTTTCGTCGATCTATAGAGAATGCCAATTGTTACTCTCGGATATTAAACTTATACAATGGAATATGCCAGATAGAGTACACTACAGTTTTTTCAGTTATTTCCAGAGACCGTACCGATTCTAATTTTTAAAGCAAAAAATTAAAAAATAAATAATCTTTGGTTATTTCACTAAAATATGACAGTAAACACGAGATTCCATTACAAGTTCTGAAGTTTCTCCAGTCTCTAGTCTAATTATTTGCATTTATACAAACATACCAATGCATACCAAGAAGCTACGCATCATGAATGAGTATGAAAGCAAATAACAGTTGGTTACTAATACGTAAAGTCAAACGCATAAACTATTACTAAAATGAATGCACATAGCATAACGAATAACAACTATTATATAAATATACAAATATATGTTTATTTTGATTAAACGGAACAAATAACATTATGTAAATAACAAAGTCATATGCATTTCAATTAGAAGCCAACTCGACTATGGGATAAATGGATAACGCTTGTATCACAGATAAGATAATTGCTGATAAAGATTAAGTTATCATATCCGATATTGATTAGCACTCGTCGATACGCTTTATTGACAATGCGTATTTACGCCATTTGGCTTAAATATATGACAATAGATTGCCCAATTGGGGTAGATAAACATCTGGCTTGGGCAGCTCGGGATTCCCATGCAAAGTTTCCAATTGATAGCTGCCGGTGCCCACTAAAAGCGATTGCAGATTGCAGTTTCTGGCAAAGGTGACATCGACTTTGCAGCTACAAAGTGAAAGAAATGACATTGAGCGACATTAATCAGAGATTATATTGTGTCCTCTCACTCTCACTCTCTCTCTGTCTTACCAATCGCCTATCATTAGCGTACGCTCAGGCTGCAGAGCAGCTGCATTGAGCAGCGGCTCTAGAACCAAAGGATTCGGTTTGCCCATATCTAGTGCCATGCGCCCCGAACACGTCTCAATTGCAGCAACAAAGGCGCCTGTGCCGGGTATATGAACAGACGGATACTTGTGCACCGCATCCTTGTTGGTGACGAGGAAGGCGCAGTCTTTGTTGCTGCACAGCAGGTGACAGGCGCGCGCCATTTTACAGTAGCTGAAATGCTCATCCCAACCAACAACGACGGCGCCCACATTGTCAGTCGCTGCGGGCTGCTTCAACTCCCGATTTACGAACTCCTGCCACTTGTCATTGGGCTGCAGCAGCTCTGGTTGGCCAGCGCCAAAACTTTTAATGCCCGCTTCAGTTAGTGCTCGCTCAATAGCCGCATTTCCAACCACATAGACCTGCTGGTCGCTTGTCATGTGCTGTTTCAGATAATCGACGATTGTTTGCGTGGGTGAGATGATATGCGACTCATTGGGCAACTGGAAGCCCAGACGTTGGGCTCGCTGCCAAATTTCATGGCGTGTCTTTAGGCCGTTATTTGTTATTAAATAGACGCGTTTGCCGGCACGGGTCTGCAAGGCATTCAACACATCGGCGGCACCTTCAATAGCCTTGTCATCATGCCACAGCGTACCTGATCAATATTTACGATGTGATAAATATGTATGTATGCATATTCAAATCATTGATTTCGATAAAGAGCATCTTTAAAGTTCTCTCTCACTCTCCCTCATATGCCCTTAACATCATCGATACATATATCGATATACAACTTCTCAAAAGTTAGGTGGCAGCGCTGTAAGTCTAAGATCTCTCTGCTTTTCGCTCTCTCACTCTCACTCACACACGCACATACTTGAAGACTTACCGTCGCAATCACTGATAATTGTATCAAAGCCTTGCAACCAGCTGTTCACTTGCTCAGGCTGGAGATCTAACAAGTTAATTGCGTTTGCTTGGAACATTCTATAGTCGCGAACGAGTTGACACTGCTGCCTGCTTTGGCGTGTGTTTATTTCTTAACTGAGCGCGAGCTGAGCGATTTTTAATATTATGCTGCCTCACTCAAGCGATTGCGCTACAAATTAAGATGGATGGGTATGTTGACAACAGCAATCAGTTTGCAAACAAATTTGTAGTTATTTTATTGTAAATTTTACTACACACCTGTGTAATGCTTTTGTTTAAATCAAGTGCTGTCTATTAATAATATTAAGTTTACTAGTGTCCCTGAGCGGAATACATAAACTGAATAAAATTTGTCAAACATATATATATATATACAAATTAATAGCGTCCGTGTGTAATCGAATCGATAATTGCTGGCAGTAGATCTCCCAATTTCGGTATGTACATATCGGGTATTAGTTTTTTGTCTTCGGGGTTTTTGCTATTCCTCCATTGAGCCACATCATTCATAGAATGAATGCCCGTTCCGACGAGAAGTGTTTGAAATCCGCAATTATAGCCCAAGAGAATATCCGTGTTGGCCCGATCACCAATCATTAAAGTTCGAGACGGAATGATCTTTTTTTGCTTAATCAATGACTGACAAATGGCCGGATTAGGTTTTCCAATCACAATGGGTTCCCTCTCCGCACACGTTCGAATAGCATTCACAAAGCTGCCACTGCCCGGAACAACCATTCCTGGCATAGGGAAACGTTCATCTGTATTCGTTGCAATGAACAAGCACTTCGGGTCGCTGAGATAGGATGCCGCTTTCGTCATTTTGGGAAAGCTGAAATGCTCATCAAAGCCAACAACAACGGCCCCAATATCCGGTTCTACAGTTAAATGCTTTGCCATGAATTCACCCAGTGGGGCCTTCATTACATCAGGGCCAACGCCTGTGTGTTTTATTGCAACTGCATCCAGTTCCTGTGCAATTCCCGGGGATCCAATAATATAGACGCGCTTGTCAAAATTGCGATTCTTCAGATAACTAGCCGCTGCATGGGCTGTCGCTATGATGCCCTCTTCGGTGATATTGAACCCCAGATCAATGCCTTTCATAAGTAGTTCTTTGCGTGTTTTTGTCGAATTATTTGTGCAAAAATAAATGCTCTTTCCCATTCCTTTTAAGTAGTTTATCGTCTCTGGGGAGCCGGGTATCACATTTCCGTACACCCACAGAACGCCTGCATAATTAAAATTAAAATCATTTGGAGTTCAAAGTTCATTTTGTCTTATAAGAATTTGATTTATATGATTTCAAATAATAAAAAATATGTTCTACATTAAAGGAGCTTTAGAGAGTCGTACTGGCCGCACCCTTATGACATTGTAATTTGACATTGAATTTTGCGCGGCCTCACACACACACACACACACACACACACACTCATACAACTACATAATTTGTTTGCGCGTGTCAATTTTGGCATACGACAACAAAAAGTGACGTGATTGACTCTATTTAGGAAGTAGGCTTTTCTTTCAAAAGTATGTGCTATATTACGCAACTCAAATTGGGTCAGAATCGTTCATTCATAACTTGACACACTCACCATCGCAATCGGTTATAACGGAATCGAAGCTGTCAAGCCATTTGTTGACCTCTACAGGTGAAAGGCTCAGTAGGTTGGTGCACGTTTGTTTATACATTTCGTTCGATTTGTTTTATCAGATGAATAGACGGTGTTAGGACTAGAACCTTTCAATGCCCGCGTACTACTGCAGGCTATCTACTAATTACCAAATTTCATCCACTGATAATTTATTTATGTATATCTACTGAGCTGATGCGTTTTCGACAGTGTGGCAGCACTATCACTTATCAGCTGACATGTTGACGACGCACAGCTGTTCACAAACTACTGTAATTTTTTGGTATTTTTAAGATTATCAAGTCAGCTGTTAAACAAACCCAGCCAACTGTTGGCTACCAACAATTCAAAAAGACAGATTTTTCTTACAGTTTCAAACTTTTAAGCCGTTTATTATTGTATTTGGCGCTTACATATACAATTAATTACTTATAGTACAGGTTTTTATTTTGTTGAATCTCAGTTTTCATCCTCCATTTCTTTATTTTTTACAAACTT